CCCTATTACTGAGCTACAGCTCCAGCCCATTGTGGATACTGGCTGTAGGAGACTAGATAATGAGGATTGAGGCTTAATTGACCTTTTCTATGAGCACAAAAGAGAAAAAAAGCAAGCTATGCGTCCTTTGGCAACATTCAGGCATACTAGCATATTGCAAGTTCCAGAGAAGAGTCAATGCAGCTGAGATCTGGATGTTTACCTGGGTACATGGTATAGATAACAAGAGGCAGATGAACCTTCTATTAATCTAATGTTTGTTCCTGAGTCTAAGTGAATAAAAGCAAGGTGAGTCAAATGTGCAGGGCTCATTGTCCACTAGAGGCAAGAGCCCCCTGGTCCCCTCATTCCAAAGTCTCTTTGTGTCTTTTGTCTTTCATCCTCATTTGCCCATTTGTTGGGGATAAACTCATAGGCTGGCTCCTACACTGGCTATTTGTGTATCTTTGGAGAAATGTCTTAAGTCCTTACTCATTTTCCAAATTGGGTTATTTGGGTTTTTGTTGTTGTTGTTGTTTAGTTGTAGGAGTACTTTATATTCTGGATTTTTTTTTTTTTTTTTAAGTGCTGAGGATTTAATCCAGGGCCTCACATATGCTAAGGCAAGTGCTTTACCACCGAGCTACTCTGCAGCCTTATATTCTAGGTAGTAATCTTTTATTGATATGTAACTTGCAAATGCTTCCTTTTATTGATAGTGTCCTCCTCTCTCTCAGTACTGGGGACAAAACTCAGGGCCTTTGCAGTGAGTTATGTCCCCAGCACTTTTAAAATTTTTTATATTGAGACAGAATCTAATTTCTTTGGCTGGACTCAAAGTTGTGACCCTTCTGCCTTACCCTCCCAGAGTGCTGAGATTACAGGCATGTACCACCAAGCCTGGTGATCCTGTTTTTTTTACTGCTGTACTTTTGGGGTGGGTGGTTTGTGGTGCGGAGGATGGAACCCAAGGCCTTACACATGCTAACCAGCACTATAGGACTGAATTACACTCCTAGAAATGTACAAAACTTTATTTTATTTTGTGGTGCTAGGAATCAAACCTAGGCCCTTACATATGCTAGGTGAATATTCTACCACTGAGCCACATCATCATTCCAGAAAGGTTTTAATTTTTTTTTTTTTTTTTTTTTTTGGTACTGGGGATTGAACTCGGGACCTTGCGCTTTCGAGGCAGGCACTGGAACCACTGAGCTAAATCTCCAGCCCAAGGTTTTAATTTTGTTGAAGTCTAATTTATCTATTTTCTCTGGCTTTATATTTTGCTTCAATGATAATAAATAGTAAATAATGATTATCATTCTTTTTTTTCATTTAGTGGGAAAAGGAGAAGGAGGAAGAAGTGGCAGGAGACAAAAGGCAGTGTACGTAGATTTGGGTTTATTTAGTACAGTAGCAGTGAGGACAACCAGAAAAAAGTAATTTCCACACAAAGCGATGACATGGAAGTGGCATATATACCATCTGTGTGTGTATGTGTACCATGGACTATTGTAGAACTGAGGCAGAAACCAAATGCCTAGAAGAGTCAAAGCAATCTTTACAGAGGAAGAAGACAAGCACATAGAAATGCCTGGCCATGAAGGGGGGGGGAAGAGCAAACAGCATGTGGAACAGCACATAAAAATAAGTGTATACATTTATGGCCCAGTCTGTGAAAGGTAAATAGTTTTTCTATGGCTGGAATATGGAAAAAATGAAGAGAAGATATGGGAAATGTGGGAGAGAAGTATGCTCAGATCTGAGAGCCTTAAAGAGTGGTACAAAGAATTTGTAATTTGATAACATAGGTAATGAAGAGTCATTAATTTAAATATTTTTCCTGTGATCCAAAATAGTTCATGTTCATTATAGAATGTTAGGAAAACAAAAATAATGAAATAAAAACCACAAGGAACATAAAATATTTTTATGTAGGGAGAAACTATCAACTTACCTGTATCAGTATTCTTTGGAAAGATCATCCAGTCACAATTTATTTTTAATTTTTAATTTTTTTTTTTTTTGGTACTGGGGATTGAACTTGGGTCCTTGTACTTGTCAGGAAGGTGGCAGAACCACTGAGCTATATCCCCAGCATCCAGTCACAGTTTAGAGCAGTGGTGGTGAACCTTTGGGATGCATGCGCCAGAGGGCACACAGAGCCCTCTCTGTTGGCACAAGAACCAAATTGCCCCAGCTGCTGAGCATTGGATAAGTTTGGTTTTTTTTAAACTAAAACCTCAGTATATCAGGTTTAATTGCAGTGACCATACTTTTCCATAAGTTGGTTTGGGGTTGCAGTTTGGGCACTTGTCTCTAAAAGGTTCACCATCACTGATTTAGAGGCTGAGAGAATGGATAGACAGGAGGACAGGAAGCTATTGCAGTAGTACTCATAAGGGACGAAGGTCTAAATAAGTAGCAACAGAGATGGATAAGTGGAGAAGTGAGTTATTCCTGAGCAGGAATCAAGTAAGTCTAGTGACTAATTGGATATGACAGGTAAGGGGGAAGCAGTATGGGTGATCCTGAAATTTCTGAGAGAATGAAGTCAATCAGGCTAGTCAGCTATCATTTGGCAAACACCAAACTTGTGCAATAATGAGACTTAGGTAGGACAGCTAAAATGTAAGGGGACTGGGCTCATGCGAAGGTTTGGAATAAATGATGCAAAGTGAGTGAGAAGGCTTCTTTTTCGTGTGTGTGTGTGGGATCCAGAGCTGAGATACTCTTTGCTCATGTATTTCACTGGATTTTAAGAATTCTGCCCAGGATTAATTAGGCAGCTGTAGGGTAATGAATATAAAATCCCTAATTCCATTGTTAATGAGAAAAGAATCACTAAACTGTTAAAAACATGTTATTTGCCAAATCCAGGTAGATAGATGGGGGCTTATTCTGTGATTCCCTTTATTGCTATTTTTAGTTATAAAATTTATAAAGAAAAATATTTAGGTAATTTTATCATATTAGTTGTACTATAATCTCATCTACTCATTCATCAAACATTTACTAACTATCCATTTACTATGTGCCAGGTGGTGTGCTAGCTGATATGGGGAATACGAAAAAATATATAGCGATATAAGTGCTATCAGAATGGTAAAAATTATGCGAAGAAATAAAGATGGAGAGAGTTCTTTAAGTTGGGGTGATTTATGCAGATTATTGGGGAGGACATAGGTTAGAGAACATGAATTCCTAAAGGGCCCATTTTGCATAGTTTTATGGGGAAGCTCTGAAATCATAACGTGGAGAGGTACTCTGATGTCCCCCCTAATTGTGGGGCTCATGCCTATTCCTGTTTCTTACTGGATTTTATTAACCCTACTCAACAGCCAGGGAAAGGAGGCTAAGAGAAGTTTCACGCTGTTTTTATGGCTTTAAATATTTGGTTTGGGGGCTGCATGTAGAGGCACATGCCTGTAATCTCAGCTACTCGGGAGGTTAAAGCAGGACAATCACAAGTTTGAGGCCAGCTTGGGCAATTTAGGGAAACCCTGCCTCAAAGTAGAAAAATAAAGGGCTGGGGATGTAGCTCGTAGTAGAGATCCTTGGGTTCAATCCCCAAAACCAGGCCTTGAGGGGTGTGTTTTGTTTGAGGCCTGAGGATATAGCTCAGTGGTGGAGCACCTGCACATATTGAGGCTCTGGGTTCAATCCCTACCACCCCCAACTTCCACCCCAGTTTGAATTTAAACAATGGATATGGTCTAGATTCCAATAAGAACTTCCACATTTAAAAAATGAAAAATAAAACTGAGGACTAAATCCGGGGCCTTTGCACTGAACTACATCCCCAGCCATCTAAAAAAATGTTTATTCTGAGACTAAATTGCTCAGATTGGGCTTGCATGCATGATCCTCCTGCCTCACCCTCCCATAGTGCTGGGATTACAGGCATGCACCACTATACCTGGCTTGGTAAAAGGCTTTTAAAAAGTATTATTATGACTTCAAAGCTGCCATGGGAAAGCCTGACTTCAGTTACTTTGTAGCACAACCCTATAACCCAGGTACTATTACTTTTTAATCTGCTCAGGTTTTAAATTTACAAGTCAGAAAACTCATATTATTTCCAACCTTGCATCTGCCTTGGAGTAACTCAGCTTAACCACTCAGACACTGTTTTCTTGTAAGCAATAAAACTGTCTTGTCTCTTTCACAGTTAGAGGTCATACAAGGTAACAAATGCAAATACTTGAAAAGTATAAACAATCGACACTTAAGTGAACCATTACTGTTATTCTCCAAGTCTTATTAATAATGTTGGATATAATTCACAGCTGAGTGAGCATAAAGTAATTAGACTTTAAGTTTTCCATAGCCTCTGCATCAGGACAAGTAAAAATTTCCCTCAGGCTTCATTTTGACGACAGCCAAAAACCCCTATCTTTATCTACTTGTTCCACTTGTTTTTCTGAAAGTATGCATCGAGACCATCACCTTCCCAAAAGGAGCAGAGTATTTCCTGAGACACGCTGGAGTTCAGCACTTACTGAACTGCAAGCTACAACAGAAGCTGGAAGTGCCGAGATGAATAAACTGAGCCTGTGACTTCTGGAATTTACAGGCTCTTTCCAGACTTGAGTATGCTGTCAGGAGAGCGGAGATGCAGGACCTTTGCACGCGCGGCAGACAAGCAGCAGGGGCCAGTGAAGGTCGACGAGGCCCAAGCCAGGATGGAAACACACGCCCGTGTTTGCGGTTTGGAAGGCAGCCCTTTCTTGGAGCCTAGAGAAGAAGGTAAAACTTTCCCAGTACGAAGGTAGCTACGCCCGTAGTGAGCACTGTGGACTGCCAGGGCTTCGCTCTTCTGCTCCCTCTTAAGGAGTCACCGAATCCTCCATCCGAGAAACTTTGGCGGAACTGCAGAAAGACAACCAGATTGCAGCACACTTTAACACCCTCCTCCTAAATAAACCGGAAGGCTATGGGGCCTCGCCTCCTCCGGAGTCCTGCCCCGACGCAACCCGTCCTGTGGTGCCGATTGGCTGGTTTTTGTGCGTGAGGACGTTGCGTCGCGAGGCGGGGCAGAGGAGCGTTGTCGGTAGTGCTTTAGCCTTGTGTCCCCGGCCGCCGCCCCAGCTGTTCCACGGCGTCTGGCTTTCGTCTGTTTTTAGAGAGTACACGTGACGACCAGGGTTTCAGGGAGTCTCACAGCAGCCAAACGTCTCCGCTGAGCCGCCTAGTCTAGCAGGCGGCTCTTTTCGACTGGTACAGGTTGCGGGGAAGATGGCGCCGGCGCCTCTAGGCGTCCGGGAGGAGCAGCTGTTGGGGTGTGGGTCCGGACCCCTTTCCCGGATCCTCTTCCTCGCCCAGGCGGTCCTCCTGCTGCCCGGCGCCCATGCAGGCCCCTGCCCCGCACCCTGCTCCTGCAACGTTCCTCTGCTGGACTGCAGTCGCAGGAAGCTGCCCGCGCTGAGCTGGAGGGCGCTGTCGGGCCCACTGCCCCCCGACACAACCAGCTTGTGAGTAAAGTGGCCAAGCTGAGGGACCAAAGGAGGGCGAGCTCCCCTCCACAGGGCAGAGCAGGTGACAGGTCTGGTGGGGAGGGGGGGGGGTCAGGTGGGAACCTCAGGTGTTGAAGGGAACTGCCATTTCGATGTTGTGAACTTTGGGGTGGGTGGGGAGCCTGAAAAAGCCGATGTTAAGGTTTCTAGAGACGTGTGAAGACCACGGTTTTAAGATTTTTCCTGTCGGGGAGTCTGGTTTTCTGGAGTAGGTAGGAGTTGGGGCGGGGATAGTTGATGTTAAGGACTCAAGGGTTCCTGCACTATCACAGACTCTGATGGCTGAGGGGCGGGTCGAACACGCAACCTCTTTCGGCTGTATCGTTTGTTGTGTATCTGAGCTTGTAGGGCCCGCTGGCACATGATTTTATAAACACGATCGCCAAAGACGCGTGAACTTTTGTCTCTAGTTCGCATATTTGCTCATTTTGTGCTGCAGTTTTGATACTTAACAGGACTGAAAATTTCATCATGTATCAGGAGATTCAGTACTAACCAAGAATATCTTTGTTTTTATTTTTTTGAGTCAGGGTCCTTTTGTAGAGTTCAGGCTGGCCTAGAACTCAGTATGTAGCCCAGGCTGGCCTTGAACTCCCGGTGACTCTCTTGCCTCAGCCTCTCAAGTGCTGGAATTACAGGTGTGTGTCACCACTCCTGGCTCCAAGAATATCTTAATTTTTTAATTTTTTGTTACCAGGGATTGAACTTAGGACCTCGCGCTCACAATGCAGGCGGCGAAACCACTGAGCTAAATCCCCAGCCCCCCAAGAATACCTTTATAAGTAGCATTCTTGGATTGACTTAATATAACCATGTAAGGCAGGGAAGGAGTACTTTTTCTAGAGCCATGTGATGCTTTAGGTGTTTTCAGCCCATTTCTTTGTGGCAAAGAACCCCAAAATTAGGCCTCTTTGTTTATGTATGTTAGACAAGTACAGTGATTGAATGAATGAATTCTGAAGTCTGCACTGCTGAGTTTTCATCTTGACAGGTCTTTATTAGCTAGTGGCACCTGAAGAGCTCATTAGTCTGAGTCAGCCTAGTGGCTTTAAGAACAACATTAGGTATTAAATACTGCAATTACGGGGATTCCTAACTACCAACATACAGTTACTTCTCTGCCACTAACTGAACAACACAATTATTAATTGACAGGCTTGTAATAGAGTCGATTCTAAAAAAAGTCATCATTAAAAAGAACATCTTGGAGTATAATTAAAATTTGAGGGGCTGTTTGCATTTTCATTGGAAATAGAATAAAATAATACCTTTTTTTTTTTTTTGGTACCGGGGATCAAACTCAGGACCTTGCACTTGCAGGGCAGGCGGCAGAACCACAAAGCTAAATCCCTGGCCCTGAAATAGAATAAAATAGAAGGTCTCTGTTGGAGAGATGAATATATATGCACATGTATATTTACATATAGGTTAGCGTAAATAGGAAAGAAAGCTACTTCATATATTCATTGAAGAAATTAACCAAATGTTGTACTAAACAATTGCAATCTAATAATACGGTTTCTTTTTATAATAGTGACTCCTGTAGCTAACTGATTCTTTTGACTCAAATTTAAAAATTCATATCATTGTGCAGTGCTGTGGATCTTGTTTGCAGCAAGAATCTTTTTCTAAGAAATTTCTGGAACAGCAACCTGATTATGACAAATAAATCCTGCTCAGGTTTAAAAACAACACAACTTCATTTAGCAGTAATTGAAATAAATGTGGCCTACTTTTATGATTCTCCATTGGTAGGTAAACAGTAATTAGAAATATTTTTATGTAAGATATATTTATTTTTTGTTTGATTTTTGTTTAATCAAGACAAGTTGCCTAAAACCAAGTGATATTCAGAAATTTTAAATGTCCTATAATGAAATCGACATTTTCAGTTGAAGTGAAATGCTTTGGAGAGCAGTTCTGTCACAGAAATGTAATTGGATGGGTCTTATATTAGCAGAAGAGCTCTTAGAATATTAAAAAATAGGATTGTGCTGTTTTAAACTGGGAAATGAAACATTCTTCAGCAGTTGCCATTGCCATAAAATCACCAGGTACTCTTGGGTTTATGTTATATGAATTTTTAAAACACGTATGTGATGCTCTGTATTAGTAATTTATTTTTATTTATTTATTTTTTTTGGTACCGGGGATCAAACTCGGGTCCTTGCACTTGCATAGCAGGCGTTGAAATCACTGAGCTAAATTCCCGGCAGTAGCTTTGTATTAGTAATTTAAACTTAGATGTTCAAACTTGTGGCAGTTGTTAAAGTGATTGTGGGAAAGAATCATCATTATTATTATTATTATTATTATTATTATTATTCTTGGGTGATGCTGGGGATGGAACTCAAGGCCTTGAACCTGTGAGGCGAATGCCCTGGTGCTTTGCAAGAATGCAACCCAAACCCAATCCTGTTTTTTTGTTGTTTTTGTTTTTGTATCAGGATCGAACTCAGGACCTTGCCCTTGTGAGTCAGGTGGCGGAACCACTGAGCTAAATTCCCAACCAATCTTGTTTTTTTGAGACTGGATGTAGATACTGTCTTTTTGCTTCTCTAAATATTAGTATTCAGAACTTGACTGAATTCTTTGTATCACATTGTTCAGATTACACACACACTTTGGGGGACCAGTTATATTAGTTTCTAGTTTTGTCAAGGGTGTTAAAACCCATACTTCCAGTTGTTGTCATGATCACTTCATGATAGTGTCAAAAATACTAAGAATTATATATAGTACTTATTATAATAAAGGACAGTTCTATTTACCAAATAAATTTAGCTTTATGAGAAACTTGTAATCTTGTCCTTACTATTTTCATTGCACTATGGACTGCGAAAACTCCATCATGGGTCAGTATTTGGAACAACTGCTGTATTAGATTAATTTCATTGGATTACATGTGTTTAATGATCATTTTTTAGTCCCTTCTGTTCTCGTTATAGTAAGTGTTTCAAGAATTATTTGCATTTGCTCCTTTAGAATGGTTGTAAACAGGTTAGTTTTTAGTGCACAAAGGATATTAACTTATGTTGAATTACTCTAGGGAAGTCTTGTCTAGTCATATGAAACTTGAGGTTGAACCTCAGTAGCTGTCACTGTACTTTAGTGACATTGGCAAAATGTTTTCACTGTTGACATGTGGACTTAGTCCTAATCTCTTTAAAAATCCTGGGTTCTGGGCCGGGGATTTAGCTCAGTGGTTCTGCTGCCTGCCTCGCAAGCGCAAGGACCCAAGTTCGCTCCCCAGTACCAAAAAAACAAAAAACAAAAAAACAAACAAAAAAAAATAAAAGTCCTGGACTCACTACCAATGACCTGTGTGATATCAAGCAAAAAATTACATAACTTTGCTTGTATTTCATATTTCCTTCCTAGAGGAAGGATAATTTGTTGTATCCTTCCTTTAGCCATTTGTGGTGATACCGGTAAATATTGAAATACTCTTTGGAAAACACTGTCAGGTTTTAGAAGGTGATAATGGTAGGGAAGTTAATTCCAGTTCTTGTTTAATTCTCTGAATATAAACCTTTTCTTTTATTTGCAGTAATGGGAATTGAACCCAGGGCCTTTGCCCTAAGCTATTATCCCTACACTACCCTTTTTTAAAGTTTCAAGGTAGGGTCTTGCCAAGTCCCTAAGTTGCCCAAACTGGACTCAGACTTGCAGTCTTCCTGCTTCAGTCTCCCTGAGTACTAGGATTATAGGCATGTACCACCATACCTCCATGAACTATTTCACTTTCAGCAGTCATTTCCAGACATATGTAATGTGCATTCTTTAACTGCATTGAAGATTTTAACATAGTTTATCTTTATTCTGGTATATTGATAAGTAGTAAACAAGATGTGAGCCCACAAAATCTAATGCAGTATTCTAGGCATTTTTGCTGAGAAGATACCTGAATAAGAGAGTCTGCAATGAGAGAGCCTTAAGGTATTCAACCTAATAATGATCTGATACAGATTGCTTAGATTTGGTGTTCATGCAAGTCTAGCCTGAATCATTTTAATATTTTAGATTGAGCCTAGTATAATTCACTGATTTAAATACCTTTTGGTGTTATGAATATGCCTGTTTGATCACACATTCCCTAGAATTGATTATCATTGTTAAATTTTTTTTTTTCTAATTTGAAATGAGAAAAATCATATACATACCTCCCTCCATTATACTGGGGATTGAACCCTGGGCCTTGCACATGGTAAACACATGCTCTACCACTGAGCTGTCATATCATTTTAATTGCTTTAGTTTCTATAGGCAATCAGATTGTCTTTTTTTCTTTTTTTTTTTTCCGTACTGGAGATTGAACTCGGGACCTTGTGCTTTCGAGGCAGGCACCGGAACCACTGAGCTAAATCCGCAGCCCTCAGATTGTCTTAATATTAACATACCCACACTAATTTTGTTGCTATGCATGGCACCTAATTTTAAATATGAGAGCCACTTAGAAGAAACTGCTAAGTGTATCCATGAGAACTTTAATATTCAACCTTTCCCCTTTTTGATATGATCTTCCTGTGCATGGGAACAGTAGCTGAGGAATTAGGAAAGATGAACAAGGCTTCTGTTGGAAAGATGGAAAAAGTAAGCTAGGGCTATGCAGCCTCAAATCTCAACCTTCCTCCCTAATGAAATATATAGCAATGACGTGGTATTTCCTTCTTCTTCTTTTTTTTTTTTTTTTCTTTTTTGAGACAGGATTTTGCATGCTGGCCTTGAACTCTTGGCCATCCTCCTGCCTCAGCCTCCTGAGTGTTGAGATTACAAGCATGTGCCACTATGCCTGGCAACATGATATTTCTTTAAAAGTTACTATTTTGGGTACTGGTGATCTAACCTGGGGCCTTGTGCATACTAAACAGATGCTTTGACCCTGAGCTACATCCCCACCTCAGTGAAATATGTTTGGATAGGATAATCTACCAATTTGTCTTGCTGCATTTAATCTT